CTTTCATGCACCACCTGAAGTCCTGCATCACCTGAAAGCAATATGAGGAAGATGAACTGTGATGGCCCCAATGAATTTCAAGAATGTGAGGTCTGGTGCTAATATTTTCCACTAGAGGCAGTTTGATTGTAATCTGCACTGCAAGGACCAGAGGATCCAGGCTCATGAATGATAAAACACAAATGAAAAGCAAAGTAAGGCAGTATTCCAGGGGGGAATGTGGGGTGGTGAGGGGAGGAAATGTACAAAGCTATATTGGTCATACTGCCTGTAGTGTACCAGGAGGGAGAGAGAGCTCCTATGACTGCTGTAAAAGTAGTTGCTGTCTCTGGCTGATGTTTCTCAGCGTAACAGTCAAAACTACACAACCTCCACGAGGACGAAATAATGATGAAACAGGCAATGCAAACCTGATGCCTGATCACCTTGCATACAGCTGTCTTCTTCAATCCCAATGCACATCAGGCAGAGCAGCATTTACCTCCGAGAATAAAGGCAGAGGAAGATGGTTCACTCTAAAGTCAGAGCACAAGTTCTGTCTTCGTGGGATTCAGTAGAAAGGAATTGCAGCTCTGTAATAACATTGGCTCCGTTTCTGTAAGGTAACTGATTGCCTACTTGACCATGACGGACTACTTTACTGAATGTTTCCCTCAACTCTTTTGAAGTGACAGCTCATCACTCATATATGTGCAGGGATGACACCCTCCAACAAGTTGCTGAGGAGCAAACTCTCTTTAGTGGCTAGGAAAACAGTGGGATCACATGAATGTGACTACATAACTCTGGACTCAAAGAATTTGCATGCAAATTGACTTCCTTGATGAGTTTGGGCAACTCTGTGCCTCAAGGTCCCATGTGTAAATGGTGACAATTCTCAAGCTCCTGTTTAAGTGAGTGTGTTCAAGTACTTAAGTGAAGATATTCTGTCCAGGTACTTCTTAGCCTTATGAATAGAATGGTGTTTACTGCAGTAGGTGTTGCTATGAGCCTATCTGCCAGGACAAGAAGGAAAGGAACAAGGTGTCCAATTTTTGCATGTGTTTAATCCCCATGTGACCTTGATGCACAAGGTTAACACTTCAGTTTTGGGTAAAACAAAATACTGGCAAAGACCTGACAGGAATTTACTTAATATGAGACTTAGTCACATTCCTATTTCATAGAATCATAGCATAGTTTAAGTTGGAAAAGACCTTTAAGATCACCAAGTCCAACCGCTAACCCAGCACTGCCAAGACCACTGCTAAACCATGTCCCTAAGTGCCACATCTACACATCACACATCTGTTAAACACCTCCAGGGACGGTGACTCAACCCCTTCCCTGGGCAGCCTGTTCCAATGCTTGACAGCCCTTTTGGTGAAGCAATTTTTCCTAATGTCCAATGTAAACCTCCCCTGGCACAACTTGAGGCTGTTTCCTCTTGGCCTATCACTTGTTACTTGGGAGAGGAGACCGACCCCCACCTCACAACAACCTCCTTCCAGGTAGCCGTAGAGAGCGAGAAGCTCTCCCCTCAGCCTCCTTTTCTCCGGACTAAACCCCCCCAGTTCCCTCAGCCGCTCCTCACAGGACTTGGGCTCCAGACCCTTCACCATCTTTGTTGTCCTTCTCTGGACACGCTCCAGCACCTTGATGTCCTTCTTGTAGCGAGGGGCCCAAAACTGAACCCAGTATTCAAGGTGCAGCCTCCCCAGTGCCGAGTACAGGGGGACGATCCCTTCCCTAGTCCTGCTGGCCACCCTATTGCTGATATAAGCCAGGAGGCCATTGGCCTTCTTGGCCAGCCAGGCACACTGCTGGCTCATATTCAGCCGTCTGTCAACCAACACCCCCAGAGCCCTTTCCCCAAGGCAGTTTTCCAGCCACTCTGCCCCAGGTCTGTGGTGTTGTGTGGGGTTGTTGTGACCCAAGTGCAGGACCCGGCACTGAGCCTTCTTGAACCTCACACAATTGGCCTTGGCCCACTGATACAGCCTGTCCAGATCCCTCTGTGGAGCCTTTCCACCCTCAAGCAGACCAACACTCCCACCCAGCTTGGTGGTGTCTGCCATCACAGGACCTGCTGACATCACTAACCCCAAATCAGCCAGGACCTATATGAATCTGAAAAGAGCAACAAAGATAACATAAACCATGGAACTCGTGCTAAAAGCAGAGGAAATCGGATCAGAGTTGATCACTGTTTCTGCAGCTGTTTGACAAGGTCAAAGGCCTGGACCTTGCATGGAATCAGAGAAATCGATTCCTGAGTTACTATACATTACTCTGGTAGGTGACCCCAATAGGTCAGAGCTGGCCTACACAATTTCAAGTGGAAAGAGTAATGAAAGCTCTGGTCATGAATGACTGGTAATTATACAGCTCTCAGAGACCTGTAATGAGGTTACAGTGCTGCTCTGCATGTGTGTGGGGAGGAAGAAATGACCAAATAACCTTGTATGTCATGGATCCCAAGCAAAGATACATATAACTATGCAAAAACTGAGAGAGGGACCATTCCACTGCACTCATGGGCTGTACTGACTAGTGAAGTGTAGTGAATTGGCCAACACTTTACCAGACATTAAGTTAGGAATTCTCTACTTTTCCTTTTATATTTTATATTATATTTTATTTGTCTACCTTTCCTTTTTTATCTGCTGCAGAGCGTAATTCAAAGATGAGTTAATGAATCATTTCAGTGGGCTCTGGGTGAAGATTTATAATCATAGAATCAGAAAAACAGTCTGAAAAGGAACTTGAAATATCCTCTAAATTATTCTCTTGCACCAAGCTGGACTGACCTGTCTAGAGCCGTTCTTAAAGATCCCCAGTACTTATGATCTCTTCTTTTTCTTCCCTCCCCACAGAATTTGTTTTGCTGTTGTAGAAGAAATTGTATCGGTCCATGGCAAATCCGTCCGGGAGACAAATAGCAAGCCTGTTATTTTCTACACACTAACAAATTGTTTATGCATTGCACAATTTTCCTAGAGCTTGAAGTTAAGATTGTTTATATTCTTTCCTTTCTTGGGGCACACACACTGTTTCCTCCTGTGAGATGTTGGTTATCAATTTACTGAGTTTACCGAAATCTGGTTTTGCTTAGAAGAAGCGTAAAAACAGCAAACCAGAAACAACAGATTAAGGGTCACAGATAAACAATCACTACCATCCAAACTGCCCTTTACATTAATATTTGCAAAAAGCTATACCTGTCAGCTACAATCAAGTCTAGGAGAGCTTCCCCTCCTGTGACTGTCATCATCTTCTGTATGAAGAAAGTCAGCAACACGTTCCACAAACTTCCTGTACCAGTGGTACTTCTGAGGAATCAGAAGTATTGCCTGGACAGCAGTAATCTCTTATTGCTGTGCACTCGATGATTCTGCTTGGTTTTACTGCCAGGCAGCCTGGAACATAAATAGTAGTGCCCGGTTTTCTCCCCTTTTAACAATCACTCAATTTGCTTCGAAAAGATCCTCCTACAGTCTCAAAGCAAATATATCAATCCATGACCTAAAATGCAACATCTCTTCTTCTTCTCCTGCTTGTTATTCCTCACAAGTTGTGCACTACTGTATTAACATTCCAGCCACAGTAATCATCCAAACAAGTCTCTATTGTACCACAGTTAAAATGTGGATCATGATTAAAAACTTTCAAATCCACTTGTTTATTCTTACCTCTCCTCATAAAAACATAGAAAAGTTCACAGGATCAAGCCACTTGTTTTTTCACATCATTACAAGTAAACCTCTTTGCTCTTAGTTTTTCTTGTCTACTTTGTTTCCTCCTCCTGAATGGTAACTGCAAACAATTCACTACAAAGCTAAGAAGGCTCTGTCTCATCCACCATTTTCCTTAAGCTCCTCCAACCATTAGACTTCGATTAGACTTCAAGCCATGGTGAGAATGATTTTTCTCTCCTCCTTAAGCATGAAGTAAGAGCCTCCAGTGTCTGTGGACAACCTGTTCACATTCAGAAGAATTCTCTTGCAGCAGCTCCCTGCAGTAAGCAGAAGGACTAATCTTTTTCAAAACCCAAGAAGAGGAGGGCACCACCGAATTGGATTGTGAATACTTACTGTGTTTGCACAATTACTACCCTTTCTGTTGGGCTTTTCAGGCAGATGGGGTAGGTCTCTCTACTTGTGCAAACAATCGACCTACAAAAGGTTTGCCTCATTTTCATATACTAATGTCTGATGTGCACACGTTGGACTGTTACTTTTTCATTGGTTGTTTTGACCTTAGGATGCAAACTAAAAAGAAGAACCTGTTCAAAAAAAAAAAAAAAAAAAAAAGCACAGCTGCCTAAAATGCCAGGTAGACTCTCAGAAATGCCATCCTTAGTGTGGATACAGACAAATATCTCAGCCAAGGCAGAGCCAGCAACAGGTAAGACACTGAGATACCACCCTTCACAGCAAAGCCAATAGGAAGAAGCCAGAAGCTCACGCATCCCTCCTGGAGACCGCAGAAGCACCAAGGGAATTTATTCAAAAGCCAGTCAGCATCTGTCCCCTCCAAGGACACTCCCTCTGTTTAAGTCTTGCTTGCTGTTACCAAAGTACACCCCAGTGGGTGCTCCTCACTGAGCAATCATAGCTCTGCTCTCAGTGCTAGGATGTACTGTGAATCAATAAACAAAGAAAGGAAAAGTCTTCCACAGCCGCTTTCAAACGCGCCCCTTTCGAAACGCCCTTGCAAATCTCGCCCGGGACGCGCGTCCCTGCACTGCCTGCACCCGGGACCCAGCAGCTCCCCCGGCCGCCGTGGGGACAGCCGCAGCGGGCTGCCCCGCCGCCCCTCCAGCCCTTCCCCGGTCCCGCCACCGGCCCGACGGCCGCACGCCCTCTGCGGCCCCTGCGGGCGGGCGGACGGACGGACGGAGCGGCGGGCGGGCAGCGCGGCCCCCGCCCCGAGCCGGGTACCGGGGGCGGGCCGGGCCGGGCCGGGGGGCGGCGCTCGCCGCCCGCACCTCGACGGGGCGGGCCGGTCGGGGCCGGGCAGATCGAGCCGAGCCGAGGCGGGGCTGCGCGCAGCATGTGAGCTGCGGCCCCAGAGCTCGGAGCGACCGACGGCCGGCGCCGGGCTCCAGCATGGGGCTCGCCCTGCTCCTGGGGCTGCTCCTCTCCCGAGCCGGTAACAGCGCCCGGGAGCGCGGGGCGGCGGGGGGGGGGGGGGCGGCGGGTCCCCCGTCCCTCTCCCGGCGGGCGGGATCCGCGTCCTGTGCCCGCCGCAGCTGCGGGGGTCACCCGGGGGAGCGGGCGGGAGGGGGGGGGGGGGTGCCGGCTCCCCTCGCGTTCGGGCGATCCCTGCTCCCACGCCGCTGGGCGGGCCCCCGGCCCCCCGCGGCGGGGAAGAACCCCTTTTTCAAACCGGGAAAGGCGTGCTGCCCCTTTGAGCCGAAACGTGGGTTGCGAAGGTGGCTGTGACCAAAACGGGAGGGACGGTCTGGGGAGGGGAAAGGATGGTCCGGAGGCAGTGCCCGGGGGGGTGCCGAGCACGCCTCGCTCCTCTCGCAGCAGAGGGGCAGATGCCTGGAGCGGATCCGTCAACGCGGCAGAAAAAGCACAAAGAGAGCATCTGCTGGACCTGCAGTAGCAGATCCTTCTTGTACCTCTCTCGCACTGACTTTGCCGAGAGCTTTGATACCTACCCTCCATGCATTCCCCCTCTGAAATGCTTCAGGCTGGTAGTTTTCTGAGATGAGGCTCAATTTGCAATGAGCAATCCAAGGAGCTCCTGCAGAGATGCAGCTGTTTGTTCTACTCTGCCTTACACTATTGCCAAGTCACAAGAGCTGAAGATATAAATTATTACTCTTTCCAGTTCATCTCTTGTGGAGTCTTCGTGGCTGATGTGACTAGAAATACAGAAATTACCAAACTGCTCTGAAGCATTCCTAGACCCTGGCTGTGGGATGTCAGTGCTTTACGCTCAGAAAAAGATGCAGTTGCTGAATATCACGATGACTGCTATAAAAATGGGCTGTTGCACTGAGACCTCAGTAGCACATACAGCCACACAATTACAACACATTCCCCACAATTTTCCATGTCCAAATACTAATGCTTGATAGCTGTGCTTAACAAAGGAAAAGTTTCCCTTCTGCAATCGCCCTCTCTTTCAAGAGCATGGTGCACCAGGGGCATCAAAATAATACATATATATGTATGACAGGATGTGGAGTGAAAAGGGAGAATAAAGGGATATTGTATTATCTATCTTTTTTTTTTCTAAGGTATAAATAATTATAGCCTGTGAATTGATTATTACCTTTTATATATATATATATATATATTTTTTTTTTAACTACAGAAGTGACTCCCATACACATGCATCTTTATTATGTGCTGCAACCTAGACCATAGGTCTAGGTTCTCATTCTTTCACATTCTATTATCTGGAATAATACTAAGATGAGGTTTTAAAAAAATTAAACAACACGTAAGTAATAGGGCTTAAGGGAATGCATAGCTATTAAACAATGTATGTAGAGGAGGACTTCTAAATTTGAGGTTTACAGCAGCTTCAGCTGAAGCAGGTACAGAAACCTGGTACCGGCCTGTGGTAGAAACACAGTCTATCGACTTACACCCAGCTCTGCTCTACCCCAGAAATTACCATATAATTTTAAAGTTTTTAAAATGTCACTTCAAGCTCAGGTGCTTGCTGAGCAAAATTCTTAAGGCAAGAAAAGTGCATCCTGTCCTCTTATGAACATCCTACAACAGCTGCTGCAAGCCACTGTTAGAGATGGGATATTGGGGGTGATGGTACTTTGGTCTGGACTGGTAGAGTAGGTATGTTAGCTCATCTTAGGATTCCAAAAGCTACTGGAGAGATTGGACTGATTTGCTGTTGGGAATTTGCACTGACTGCAACCTTACAGGATGTAATCACACTCAGAATGTTCATTAAGGTTGTACCTAGGTGTAATGCCTAACCAAAACCCACTGTGCTGGGTATGAAGCATTTCTGATGGGAGATGTGTTTTTTGGGCAGCCTACAAAGTCATACAGTCTCTGTGTAACAGTTGAATGAGCAACAAAGTACAATAACTTGCTAGAAAAGCAAAGAAATTTGTACAAGTGAGACAGAGACACCTAGATAGTATTACTGGGTTGTAGGGAAAGTAGAAAGTTTGAAAAGCAGATTAGCACAGAATTATGCAGCCTACTGCTTGCAGCAAATAAACTGATGAAGCCAGGAAAAGTGAAGCAAGTGAGAGAACAAACTAGATGGTGAAGGCAGTATACCAGGTAATATAAGCTGCACCAAAATTTTTTTCTAGTCTGTAGTAAAGGCAGACTGAAATAGTACTACTGCACCTGCTGAACAAAAGAGTGATTGGGAAGATCATGAACCCAAAGAACATTAAAGGTAGATGTAAGGCTCAGCACAGTCATTTCCTAAAACCAGCCAAGCAATATTGTCCTGAAGGGAAGAAACATACCTGCCTATATATAAGTTTTATTAGCAAACAGTCTTGTTCCAGGTCTTCATTGTACTTGTACAGTAAACACAGATTCATATACTACAGAAATTAAGAAAGACTATGGACTGTATTCACCTACTTGTGACAACATAATGCTAGGTAACAGCCCAGTATTACCCTTATGAGACAACAGTCCATATAAAAAATTGTAAAAGCTGGAAAAAAGTCTAGTTTTAAAGATTATATTGTTAAATTGAGATTATTTAATACTTCCACATAAGGTAGTATGTGTGTATGTGTGTATATATATATAAATATATAAAATCAGTGCCTATGTTATGCAAATATACACACACATGAAGATGTAGTTAGAGTTCACAATCAACCAACAGATGAAGGCTGGCAGGCCAAGCCTGCATCCCAGGATTTTTGTCAGGGATTTCAGGGCCTGGGTTCTATATACTTAAATCGACTGTGTATTAGCACTTGCATATGAAGCTACTTTCATCTTATGTTAAGAATTTATTCTATTATGCAAAAAATATGCATTCTTAAGTTTCCAAGCTCAGTGAAGTAGTTGTTTTTACACCCTACAAATGGCTTTCTCAGTACGTCTCTTAATGATCAGTATATACTTAAGCAATGGCAGCAGCACTGACTCACAGCAGACACTATGGTGTTATTATGTGCTTATTGCGCTGTGGTTTTCATTACCGAGATAGAAGAGCTTCTTCAAAGCGGGCCTCAGCAACCCCAGGTTTCCACAGGGATTTACTCTTCCATAAAATATAAAGCCATCCCTGATCCTGGCCAAGTTGAAAGAGTTAAGGGTGATTAAAAAAAGGTTTTATTAAACAAAATTATTTTTGAGACTTTTCTTTAACCATTTGTTCCCTTTTTCACACATTAATACTCACCCTTTTGTTTCTAAATGGAGACAGCTCTTGTTCCTTAATACTCCATATGAAAGACCCCAACCAGTTCTGCTTCCCAAGAGGAGTCCTTACTGAACATAGGATGCGAAGAGAACAGCAACAAGGTACTTGTGTGGCATTCACCATGACTGTGATCCTAACAACCTTTTTCCTACTTGACCAGGAGACCTCCTGGCTCTGCCGAGGAGTGACTGCATTGCAGCAGAACAGCTGTGTCTCTCGGACTCTTCCTGCAATGCAACATATAAGACCCTGGAAAACTGTGCCCTGGCCAAGACTCGCTTCCTCCCACTGGATCACGATAGCAGGGTCAGATGTCTGAATGCAGAGCTAGACCTTGGAAACAGTTCTTTGCTACACTGCAAGTGTCACCGGCGCATGAAGAAACAGGAGCACTGCTTACGCATTTTCTGGACCGTTCACTCCAGCATGACAGACGGTGAGAAGAAATAATATGAATTTACAAGGTACTAGTAAGGCTCACCCCTGCCCGCCCCCATTAGCAAACAACTGTGAAAGGCTGCTTCCCAACACTGCAGGTATTACTTTGGAACCACATTTCCTAGTGAAGAGAATTAATTACTGCTCTGTTTGATAAGCAGAGAAAGCAGATCTGGTCTGAGACTGGTCCTTGAAATACACCAGGGACCCTAGGAGGCAAAGATGGCTACTCTGAGGCAGTTAGATTTAGTGCTCTGAGGGGAGGCAGCTGTGAAAGTCACCTCAAAATGGTCAACTATATCCATCACTGAAAACAGACGTGTGGTTACGTCACACACTGTAACAGCATCCTTAACCATGCTGCTTCTTTCCAGCTTTAGCAGGATGCTTCTACTTGGCCTCCCACTAAAGACTGCCTGTGCTGCACATCTCCTCACTAGTACTGAAGCTGAAAAAAACGAAATAACAAGGCAGACCAAATTCCAGCCAGAATAAATCTGATGACAAAACGTAAGGCTGTTTTTACACAGTAGTAACTTTGCATCTCTAGCAGAACCAATCTTGGCATTTGGCTTTAAGCAAGGCAGAGCATCTCTGAACTCTGGTCTGAGGAAACAGCCAGGCACGAATAAGCAAAAAAGAAATCTTAAAAAAAAAAAAAAAAAGCGCTGATCACAAAGCATTTCTCCCAATGCATAAAATGCCTTGTATCTTGCCTAGGTTATTTCAATTTGGAGACCTCTCCTTATGAGAATCCAGCAAATGAAGAACACTGGAAGACAGATTATAATAAACTGGCAGCTCTGTTATCAGGTAAGGATTGTAATGGTTATATGATATAACGCTGCCCTTATGTTTTCAGGGGCTGAAAATTTTTAAGAACAACTATTTGGGGTAATGACCCATTTAATCCGAGAAACACCTGCTCTGGATACTTGCCTAAATTTGTCCCCTTGCCAAATTCTAATATAGCCACAGATTCACGCCCATGAAACAGAGAATAACCCCCAGTGATGCATTTTCTGAAACAAACACCCTAACACGAACCAATAAAAAATATGATTTTGTAACTAATGTAACTGCAGTGTCGTACTATGAGCACATAGCAGGACTAATTTGCTTTGTTCTTTTTGAACAAATCCGACCACCGAGTAAGGGTTACTCCTATTTCCACACAGAATCTCTTCTGGAAACCTGCTTCATTGTTTCTGGGTTTCTTTTGGCTTTATAGGCTCACAGTTAGCAGGAGATGCAACAAATCCATGCCTGAAAGCAACTCACGTCTGTAATCTGAGCAAGAAGTGTGTTCGTCTGCGCACGGACTATGCCTCTATCTGCACCAAGGGAGCAGGAAGTGAGGACACGTGTGACCGTCGCAAATGCCACAGAGGGCTAAGGAATTTCTTTGAGAAAGTCCCTGAGGATTTCACCAAAAGGATCCTATTCTGTCCATGTCAAGATGAAGTTTGCGGAGAACGACGCCGGAAAACTATTGTTCCTGATTGTTCCTTCCAGTATAACACCAAGCCCAATTGCCTCTGGCTTCTGGACTCCTGCTTAGAAGACCATATCTGCAAGTAGGTCCAGCAGCAGCAGACATTAGCCAAGAGAAGAGAACAGCATTGACGCTGATAGTCTCATTTTCCTTCCTACAGATCCCGACTGGCTGACTTCCAACAAAACTGTCAACCTGCAGACATGTCTCCAGATGGTTGCTCTCAGCACAACCATGCTGCATGCCTGCAGGCTTACATGGGGATGATCGGTAAGTGAGATCCGCAGAAACATAACAGGGTGAACGCTTTCAGGCCACAAACTTGTAGGCACACTCTGATGCTATGAAGGACCATCTTGCTCTTCTGCAGGAGACAGTGCTCAGTATACCAATGAATATACCGTAGCCTAATTGACGCTTGTGCACCCTCATGTCTGAGGTAAATGCAGCCCAAAAAGAGCCCTTCCATGGCATTTATCACTCTACTTTGTCCCATCCTCTGCTGTCAAATCAGCAGCACTTGCCTGAGATTTCCGAACACCTGTTTGCTTCATCAGTTGGTGCAAAATGCTCTAAATGCCTGACTAACAGGGCTCTCTGGGCCTGTATGAACGAAGTCATTCCTGCTGCAGGAGTTACATCCCACCACAGCAGCGATTAAACATGACATTCCCTCACTCTCTGACTTTTAGACTCCTGATGGTTTATTAGTGTTGTACACGCTAGCTTCTCGGAGCCAGACAGAACATGACACTACCAGCTGTTAGAAGGAAGGTCATCTTTGGGTTTGGGCATTCACTGCCAACCTGCTAATACTTTTTCAGAGTGGCACAGAAGAGGAACTGTGAAGAGCAGCAATATCTCAGAAGCTGTAAATCTAGACTATACCTTCCGGTTTTCCAGATGTCTTTGTTGGTTTTGTGCTAAATGAACTCTGGCTGAGTGGCACATTACAGGTGTGCAGCATTTGTTTGGCAAAAGGCATTTGGCCATGCAGTGTTGCCAACTATACAAGAAGTAAGAGTGCCTTTTGCTGCCATCTGCCAGTACTGCAGTTGAGCCCCTACAGAGATGCTTCACCTCCTTCGGTGTAATGCTTGCACCAGCTGCAGTGATCGGTATACCTCACCATCAGATTGCCTGAGACAGGGGTAGCAATCTCCACACTTTCTCACAGCCCAGCAGACTTCACATAGATTCACCTCTCCTGGGTGACATGCATATCACAATGAAATGCTTCTGCCTCCAGGACAGCATTCCCTTTAGTGTAACAGGGCTCATAATGCTTCTTTCATATGGTGAAGTAAATCCTGATTCCAGTTTCTGTGGCTTTGGGACAGGCACGCCCATGACACCCAACTATGTCAGTAACTCCAGTGTGGAGGTCTCCCTGTGGTGTACATGTGAGAGCAGTGGCAACCAGAAGGAGAAGTGTGACCAGATACTTGGCCTGTTTGAGAGCAACAGATGCCTTGGTAAGTGTCAATCACACCACAGAATTAGAGAAACAGCTCAGCACTGGGAAATTTAAATCCTGTTGATTTCAAGATCCTAAAGGGCATTGTGTATAGTTCTGTCTTCTTCTGCAGTGCCTCCATGATCTACCCAAACTACGGGACCAGCCCAGCTCTGCTTTCAGAAGTGTTTCTGTATCTTTTGGCAACACTTCTGTTCTTCTCAAACACCATGAAGCTATTTCCAAACAGCATTCAAATGAAGGGGTTGCAAAAAATCACAAGGGGACTTCAGACATGCTCTATCCATAGGTTACTGAGTAACCATATCAGTGCACCAGGATTATGGGGTTTGGGTTCCCCTCCTCCCCCTCCTTTCCTTGGTCAAGATAACTACCTCCTGACACAGCCCCTGCTATTAGATTCAGCAGCATAACAGTTACAAAAATCCTGTTACATGCAACTATGTAATCTTAAATCTGTATTTCTTTTATCTTCCTAGCATTTTAGCAACAGACCTTAATAAGATTTAAATATTTTATGTTTGCAAAAGCTTTCAAATGGTATCAAAGAAACCAGCATCATTAGATGATTAATATTTAAACCTACCTCCTGCTGTATAGAAAAACCTTACACCCAGCACTACAGATAAACCTGCAACTTAAACATCCCATCTCAGATACTACATACATGCCCCTTACAAAGTAGACAGCTGGGAAAGTCCCACAGGGACCCAAAGGTCCTCAAGTACAGCGCAAATTTGCTTTGCACTCTGCTCAACCTCACAAGTAAACCCACAAACTAACAGGCCATTCACTGAACAAGGAATATGTATTTTCTAAATCAGTGCCACACAGCCTGTGAGTGCATTTCCTAAAATAGCTTCCCTAGACTTCTGTTCACTAAACTCCAAGGTACGCACAAGAAAAGCACAGTAAGACTTGCTTTACTTCTGTTTGCAGAAAATACCATTTGGTCTCAAATGCACCTGAAGCAGACAGCTCTAGAAAGACAGGAAGACTTATTTTATTCATCTCCCCTAAGCTTCCAAGAAGACAGTGCCAGCACATCTCTTGCTTCAGAAATGTCCCAGGTATGCTTTGCTTTTTTGTCTTCACAAACCAGCAAGTCAAGTGGCCTAGAGACAGTAGCTGAAAAACTTGGATCTGGAAATGTGTGATTTTGGACATGAAAGTGAGGGATGCTACATGCATGCAGAACCCTGGACCACTTTACCTTGAGCTGTTCCTTCCACAGACAGGCAGAAATAGGCCATGCTGCCTGGCCACAGGATTTTCCTACAGTCTCACTTTAGCGCTCAGAACTGGACACTGTGCAGCCAGATGTTTGAGCATAAATGTGTCTAACTGGGATTCATTCCTCCTTTCATTTCCTAGGTGGCTGAAAGGAAGACACAGCGAGACATCTCAGAACACAGCAGTATGCCTATGGCCTCCTCTGTATATTCTGGAGCGGCTATTTCTTGGCCATCTCTGGCTCTGTTCCTGCCTCTTTTGATAAGCCCACATTAACTTGGCATAAATAGCATTTTTCCTTCCCATATTATTAATATTATTCCATATCCAGGCACCTCCCAATACTGATTTTCCTTTGGGAAACAGGCGGCTTCCAGAAAAGAGGAATGGAACAGCCTTAACACAGAACAGCAGTCACTGAAAACCTCTCCCTAACCTGCACCCCACTATCACCCAAGCAGTTTGCACTGAGCTCTGCATATATGGTGCCCATCATTGCTTCTGCCGTGTTAGCGTTTTGAGAAACAGTCAGGCTAATATTCTAGTGCAGTATTTTAAAACAAAGGTCTGAGTTCTGTCAGAACTTGTGCAGAGAGGGACCTGACGCAGTGCGTCCTACCACCCTGCCTTCTGGAGCTCTTCCTCAGGCATACAGTCATAGAATGGTTTGAGTTGGAAGGGACCTTTAAAGATCATCTAGTCCAACCCCCCTCCCATGCACAAGGACATCTTTCACCAGGCTGCTCAAAGCCTCACCTAGCCTGGCCTTGAATGCTTCCAGCGAGGGGGCATCCACCACTTCTCTGGGCAAAATGTTCCAGTGTCTCACCACCCATTGTAAAAAATTTCTTCCCCACGTCCAATCTAAACCTATGTTCTTTCAGTTTAAAATGGTTGCCCCTTGTCCTGTCACTACAGGCCTTGGTAAAAAGTCTCTGTCTCTTTTGTGATGCCCCTTTATATATTGAAAAGCCACAGTAAGGTCTCTACAGAGCCTTCTCTTCTCTGGACTGAACCACGCCAATTGTCTCAGTCTTAATTCACAGAAGAGGTGTTCCAGCCCTCGCATCATTTTTGTGGCCCTCCTCTGAACCTGCTCAAACAAATCATTGTCTGTCTTGTACTGGGCACCCCAGAGCTGGGTGCAGTACTTAAGGTGGGGTAGGGTAGGTAGAACAGAGGGGGAGAATAACCTTTCTCAACCCGCTGACCATGCTGCTTTTTATGCAGCCCAGGATATGGCTTTCTGGGCTGCAAGCGCACATTGCTGGGTCATATCTAATTTTTCATCCACCAGTATCCTCAAGTCCTTTTCTGCAGGGCTGTTCTCAATCCATTCATCCCCCAGTCTGTATCGATATTGGGGATTGTCCCAACCCAGGTGGAGGACCTTGCACTTGGCCTTGTTGAACTTCATAAGGTTAACATGGGTCTGCTCCTCAAGCCTGTCACGGCATAGAGCGCAGCGTACCATCCTAAAGACTATTAGTCCACACTCCAGGGTGGGTTGAAAATAAAGCTCAGTAAACATACACATAAAGTCCCTGGTACACACTAGTTCTAGATTACTTTCAGTTCCCTTTTCAAATCTGTTCTCTTAAGTATATGAAAAATACCATCCCAGATCAAGGACACTGTACTACAGTTTATATTCTTGCTCCCTTCTGTTTTGCCCCCTGCAACATATATGTATCATCCATTATCACAGCTAGCAACAGACAGTAAATTTAGTCTTACGTAGAAAAGGATTCCCTTGCCTAGCCTCACAACAAACCTTCTTAGTAATGTTTAGAGAATGCATATAAATCTTTGAAGCTGTATTGACCACAAAACCCTGGGACATTCAGTTGCAAAAATCTCTGGGAGCTGTAACTACCTGGTACCTTTCCACATATTCAAGTTGTCATTGTCCCCTTCCAAGCTGTCTGCCCAATTTCCCCCTCCTCTGCCAAGCTATTTCATGACCTGTTTATTCTGAGTGTAAATGTGTGCACTGTGTAACTGCTGTTATTTTGTACTGCATTTGCCTGTTAAAATGTGGTGTTAAATGAATATTGATTTCTGAGCACAGGTTAATAGTCCACAATCAATTGTGTGCAAGAGTTGCCTCATCAGCCAGCCTATGCTTTCAGGATAGCTAGAAACTCAGCTCAAAGCAGCTTCTCCATGGACACATACAGCGCCCCTTGCCCATCCTATGAGATCCAATGGATCTGAACAATATTATACACAGCAAAACAATATCACAATCCTGAATAGATGCAGAACAGGTGGGTATTTCTTTTCATCCTGTGATTTATCTATTGCCAGGAAAGCACCAGCTAGGTAACATGCTGTGGTTCCCAGTCACTGTCAGACACCTTCTTATTATAGAATCTTACATTGTCGTGTGTATCTGAATAATTGTTGTTCTGCAGTGGTAATATTTCCATTTCAAATTCCAGCCTTCTCTTTATTTTCTGGGCAGGTAAGGCAAGGAAATCACTGCATGGAGCAGAACCATCTCCTCTGTTTCATAGAGCAACAACATATTTCCATGCAGTAGGAACAAATATCATGTCATCATAATAAAGAGGTGTATGAATGCTGGTATTTCTGATTACCTACTGGAATACGGCTATTTGGATCAAGGGATGGCACTGTTTCCACATGTTTCCTACCAGTCTTTAATGAAAACAGAGTCTGTGTTACCATAGTCTAGTATCTACATTAGACCATTCTCCTTATGGTGGGACTAGAAACATGTCAAGACTCTTGACTGTAGTGTAATAGTGTCTGACTTCTCCAGAATTTAGTGGACAGTGACAGAGAATAAGAAAATGCTCTTCCCAATATTCCACAAATCAGTGAGGATGTCTGTGAGAATAATGAAGTAGATTTCCCTCAGCCATCTGTACCACACACCGTGTACTGCATTCATCTTCCACTCATCTGCACTGTGACCTTTCCTCTTTCCCCACTTCACACAGGTTGATATGGAAAAAGGTTTTAGCATTTTGTTCATATTCAGGGTACTGTGGACCTTTAGCCTCTTACTCCTACTAAGAAGGCTGTTCATTGCAACTGCAGCCTCCTGTCATGTCCTGGATTACATAGGAAAATGCTTGACCCTCAAATCCTGCTCTAGACTGAAATTAAAGCAAAATATGTCAGTTTGGGTTTTTCTCCAAGTATCCTATGTCTCTTTTGCATGTACCTATGCACCTTCATATACAACTGCTGCCTCTTAGGCTTATTCATCAATAACTGCAAATAAAATTCACCTCTAAATACAGCTGCATTCACAGGTACTAACCCTGCTATGAGTACTAACCCATTTTCACTTAGACTTTTGTAACACCTGATCTCCAAATATCACAGTTATTCAACTACACAGCATGCATGTATGCACAAGCATAACTACTACTAGAAATGTCATGCCAATATCAGTAACAGTTCAGTTCTGCTACCACCACCAATGTTCAAAGTTCAAAGACTGGCACAGTTACCTAAACCCATTCAGAACAGTTGTTACTAACCACACTACAGGGCAATTTACAAAACCTTCTCATCTTCTATTCACCAGAAACTAGAGTACAACATTCCGTGAGTACCTTTGGTCTAAATACAAAAATAATCTAATAAAAATTCTCTGTCCCGACAGTCTTAACACTGAGATCTCAGCAAGCATATACAAGGAGGGAACCTTCTAATTGTTGTAATGTAGATTATTTTTAAAAGTGTAAAATAATGCCAAATCTCACTAATAAAATTTATCTTGCAAATCTAGAAGTCTCCTGCCTTCCTTTGCATTTATTAGAAGCTGCACTCCTTGTCTCCTACTGCTAGAGGCATTATGGGAAAGAAATTTAAAGAACAGAGTTAGACAGAATCTTTTACAAAGCAATCTTAACAACTTTTACAGACATCACTCACTGTCAAGTACTTCAGACATGCCTTCTAGAACTCTGACATAGCTTTAGAGCCATTAACATGGCCTAATGCAGCATTTACAAAGGGCAGTCATATAGTCATTCTCCAGCAGTGAGCTCAGTCACTGTTAGGTAAGTTGTTTGTGTGACAAGTGGGAGAAGCAACACACATTTCTTGCGCGAGGTCATAAGCAAGATGATACCAGAGATAAGCCTTGAATTTGGCAGTCCGAAACTACTGTGGTTCTTGCCTCATTAAAATAATTCTCACTGCCTCCAGCAAACGTGTACGTTTCAGTAAGAATCAAGTGACTGCAGTTTTCCCTTTAAAGGGGAGCACAGTATGTATCACAGATGAGGAAAAACTAAACTTTACTTCAACCTGGCTACAGATCCCTGGCATGCCTCTTAAAAACTGCTGATAATAAAAGGTAATTTCGAGTTGACAAGACCATACTGCAGGTTCAGCACCTATAAAGAATGAAAGTATCCTTTTCAATACATGCTAAAAATCACAAGTCACTCTATTTGCTAAAATGGTAGGCAACTTTACACAAGAAGGAAAACTTTCAAAGTAATCTTTGAGGTGTCCAAGAACCAGACAAAGCTTTTGGGGACAACAGTGGAGAAGCAGGAAGCCAACCAGCACCACTGAGCTCAACGGGGTCTTTCAGCACTACTATGGAATCAAAACCAGCTGCTATTCTACAGTTGATTCCCCCCATCAAAACAGATACTGGTAAATACGATCAGAGGCTAATCACTTCTACCTCAGGGATTTTGTGGCTGAACCTTTTTTCCGATGAGGGGGGTCGGTTGAGGCTGAGCTTGGTTTAGTCTCTAATGGAAGCTCTTCTTATAGGTGATTAGCTCTCCTCCAGGAAGTGACTTGGTGTTTGGGTTTCTTGCAAACCCCAGGGTTAGCAGAGGTCAGGGGATGCAGCACTTTCTCCAAATGCCTTCATGAAAATAGCCCCACATACTTTCCATTTACAGCTGATCACCTCCATTATCCCCAGGCTAGGAGGAGATGATCAGCAATTGTTAAGTGCTTGAATCAGACTAATAGCTCACTGCTAATTCTCCCAGTAATGCCAATCTAAATTCCTGGTAAACAAACTGACTGCTTTTCACACACAGGGATGAATGCCAAAAGCCTAATATTAGAGCTCTGGAGCTAAAGCTTTTAGAGCAATCCTGTCCACTCAAAGATGTTTAATGACATTATATTATGTACTAAATAATTAGAAAATGAAGGCCCACTTGGAATCACTGGGTTACTGTCTAATTAAGATGAAAAAGGGTCTCTACTCTGTTTTAAACAAGTTTATACTAAAATGGTGTACCTGATAAATGGCACTGATAACTACATCTTTACCTTTGGGCAGAACAAGGCAGCCATTAAGCTAGCACAAAATAATTGTGTGATTTTTGGCTCATCTTATTGGTCCCACCTGTTTTCCTGTAAGCCATGCGAGTCAGTTGTTGTCTCCTCCCACCATCATATAACAAAATTTATTAAGCAACATTCAAATAGCTTATCCTGATGGAGAGAAAATCATAGGATCATATAGAATCATGGAATGGGTTGTGTTGGAAGGGGCCTTAAAGCCCATCCAGTCCCACCCCCTGCCCCGGGCAGGGCCCCCTTCCCCCAGCCCAGGGGGCTCCCAGCCCTGTCCAACCTGGCCTTGAACCCTTCCAGGGAGGGGGCAGCCACAGCTGCTCTGGGCACCCTGGGCCAGCGCCTCACCACCCGCACAGGGAAGAATTTATTCCTAATATCTAATCCAAATCTATTCTTTCAGTTAAAAACTGTTGCCCCTCATCCTATCCCTTTACTGCCTGATAAGGAGTCCCCCCTCATCTTTCCTGCACCCCCTTTAAGCACTGGAACACCACTGTGAGGTCTCCCCAGAGCCTTCTTTTCTCCAGGCTGAACCCCCCCAACTCTCTC